AAAAAAAACTTGTTATATACCTGTGATAAGTCTGTAATTAAGCCATCTTTTACAGCCATTTATTCATATGTGACCTCTAACTTTATTGGGTTTTACACTAATTTATTTATTAATTGTACAGTTTGATATAAAGAGGCCACGAGTAGATTTCGGTTCATTTTAGCCCAAATGAATGGGTTTAAAAGCGTCACAACGATAAGCACGCCCAATAAAGCACATGGGTGCTTTGATAATATGCACGACCGTGCTACACCATCATGCACGGGCATGCTTGTTTGTATTAGCCAAACTCACCTAGTTTAAAGGAGTTCTAATTCTATAAATAAAGGGGGAGGAGGCATCTAGAGAGGATCTCTCTTTTCCGGAGCATCATTTCACATAAGGCCTTTTAAGATTCTTGATCATTTTCACCTCTCTTGCACGAACCTTTGGCACACCGTTGGCAACACTTGGAGATTCAAGTGACCATACTTGAAGACCGAAGATTCATCTCTTGTTCTAGTTTACTTTTCTCTTCATTATGGATATGTTATTGATTATTCTAGCTTTTTTCTTTCTATATGAGTAACTAAATCCATAGCTAGGATTATGAGAATTATCGTTCATGACTTTATGAAATTTTGATATTTGAATCTAAATTTGATTTCTGCTTCGTGATTAGAATTTATCTTATCATTTCTCATTCTTAACTCTAATTAATTACATCGTTAGGCGATCGTACCTCATTTAATTAATAGATCTATAGGATAAAACAAGATCAAAGATTAGGTAGACCAAACCAATCTTCATCTTCTAATCGTTATTGAATTAACAAATTCATAAGCTCCTTAAACTTTTTCTAATTGATAACTCGCATGACCATTGGGGATATTAACTTAGAAAAAAGAATATTAATATTGCATGACCAGTGGATATTAATAGCATCAGTATGAATGATTAGTAATCATCATGAAATCAGATTTAGATCTAAATAGAAAAATAATATAAAAGATTGAATGAGAACACTCATACGTCCTAAGTTTCTCTCTGATAAGTATAACCAAGACGTGCTCTGTGTTTCTTGCTCTTAGTTTTTACAATTGATTTTATAAATTTTTGTCCTTATTAATTTTGCATATTTGAGGCTCAAACAATTAAATTAAGAAAACTCTTAGTAGTTGATAAATAATCTTTGTGGGACGATAATTTGAGAACTTAGTTGAAAACCCTTTATTACTTCTCGATGGTTACACTTGCTATCCGAACAAGTTTTTCTGTACAAGAAAATATTAACCATAAAAATATTGTTTCTTTTTAATTCAGAAAACTATGTGTATAAACTAAAATCAATTATATGTAACATCACTTACATACAGTATTAATTATTTAATTTTCAAATAATAAAACTTAAAGGAAAAAGGTCAAGAAAATTGGAAGTTTTTCAGGATACGACACATGCCAGCTAATCTTATTCATGCAAAGCATGTACAACCGTATCGCTTAACTAGACAATTTCAGCATACTATGTGTGCCCACATAATCAAAACTCCTGCAACTTAAGGGAGGAGCTACCATTTCTCCCTTTTCCCCCATTAAGAAGTATTGCCAAAGCTTTCTTCGAAGAATTGCACATGCATGCATTTGTCCCCAGCTAATTAATACACGACGATAAAGAGATGCTCACTTATTTTTCACTTTTCTTTCTTTTTTATATAATTTGTATCCATTTGTGGTAAATTATAAGAGATAAAATTTATTTCATGAATGTTCCAAACTCTAAAACTAATTAATCGTCAAACAGATCGATCAATATAAAATTGTTAATTTATTAACTTTTTTCGAATTCTATAAAATTGGAATAATAAGCACACTATTCAAATTATATAACAAAGCATTTTGTGGTTGGCCATTGAAAAAGTTAATGTCATGCTGATTCTCCCTCTTTGAATATAGATTGCACTAGAATGGCCCTTTCTTTTTCTTCCTCCTAATTTCGCCGGAAACTCCTAGAATGATTGAAAGAGAATGCAATAAAAGGACAAAAATTGAGTTTATAGGAGAAATGTAATCAAGCATGGATTTCAAAAATAATTGTTTTATAATATGTTAAAAGTCACACGGTTGCTAGCTAGCTGCTTCTAGATGTGTTTGGGATGCCACCAGACTTCAAGCTTGAAATCATATCTCAAGACCAACATGCATGTTCTCCACTTTCGTGGAAAATGATTAAAAGCACACACTCTAGAATATAAATGCCAAATGCATATGATTAATGGGTTTTGCCATGCTTTATTTTATTTAATATTACTTCTATTCTTATTTATTTATTCGTAGTGAGATAATATTTGTTTGTAAGAGTTTAAGGTAATATTTGTTATTTTTTTTTTATTAATATCCTTTTATCCATATAAAATACTATTTATATTATTTGAGTAGAAAAAAGAGACTCATTGGTAAGGTTTTAATGTTCCTCTAAAAGTGAAGAAATGTGTAAGGTAGGAAAAAAGACCTGTAATAAATAATTTTTTAATTTCTATATAATATATGTTTTTATAATTTAATTTTATATCAATCTTTATATAAAAATTTATTTTTAATTTAATATTGTTGTTAAAGTATGTTATAATAATGTTAACTCTTCACATGTGACCTTTTCTTGTAATTTAGTCCCTATAAATAAATAAAAAATTGTATATCAATTTTTGTATAAAAAATTATTTTTAATTTTGTATCTATCATTGCAGCGATATTTTTATATCAGTGTCAAGTTATATTTTTTTATTATCTTCATAGGAGTATTCCAAATGTTCAAAGAAACTTCATATTTTGTTTTATATATTTTTAATTAGAGATGTCAATGGGTAAAGTACCTTATGGGTATCCACAAAATTTAATGGGAATAGGTACTTAAGTACTCAACTCATCCCATATTCGCATATTATATATATATATATATATATATATATATATATATATATATATATATATATTATTAATTACGCTACTTATGTGAGGAATATCTTAACTCAAAAGTCTATTATAGGAGAGAAATAGGGTTAATATTTAATATTTTATATATTTGGTTAGATTCTCTCCACAGTCATTAATAATTATGTAATCAAAAGAGTTGCTTTACAACTTACCCCATCAACAGTTGTATTTTAAGAGTGTGACTTAAGTCTAACCTATCATTTCTCATAGGATTGAGAAATCAAGTTTGATAACTTTTATAACAAGTAAGTCTTTACCAAATAAGCCTAAAACATGTGTAAGAACTATTTCGAGAATACTTCATGTCTTGATTTGTCTTTAAATAAACATCACAACCAGTAATTTCATCTCAAATATCAATATTTCTCTATTTTATTATATTCTCATCATTTTTCCTATCATCTTTATCTCAATACTATTTTTTTTAAGATAGTTAATATGTAGTTCTAGAAATAAATAAAAATGATGATGATAGTAATGATTTAAAAAATGATTCTGATTTTTTTACCAATATACTAATGATATAGAAGAATAAAGTTATTAATTTTAGGCATAACTCAGGTGTACATAATCAAGATTTGAGATATTAGGATAAGGATGATAGAAGAATAGATTAAAATAATGATGAAATATTAGAAATGAAAATACTAGATGTGATGTAAAAATAAATCAAGGCATGAAGCTGGACGTGAATCAATATGAAAGGTTTGTTTGAAGAATATGAAATACTCTTTTAAGATGATGAAAAAATATTGCTTCACACTATTGTCAAATTATCATTATAATGATAGAGATGAAATTAAAAATTAATTTTATATAAGGATTGATATACAAAATATTTTACAATTATAAAAAAAGTCTTATATAAAAATAAAAGACAATTTAAATTACGTCAAATAATAATTTGCTACTTAAGAAAGAGTTATCATTGTAACATATCATAACAGTAGAAATAAAATTAAAATAAATTTTCATATAAAGATTAATATATAAATTTTTTTATCTATAAAAATTAAATTATAAAAAAAATAGTCTTACATAGGTACTAAAAGATCATTTATTTTAAAGTAAAAAAAAAAAGAATTTATGTACCATTGATTTATAATTAATTATATTTATAAAATACTTAAATTCAAATCAATTGCAGGTAAGCATTAAATCCCACAATTAATTTCGACAAAGTTAGTAGATTCTCAACAAACAAACTGAGTGGATTCTTTAGTATGCGTGATGTTTTTCAGATAGATAAATTGGAATATAATTAGTATATTATTTTTAATACATTGTTTAACTATTAAGCTTAGAACACTAGTTAAAAATACCACAAAAATGTGAAAAATATAGGTGTAATAAAAGCATGCTCTTTTTTTTGCTTTTTTTTTTTTTTAGTAACTACAAAAGCAAGAGTGTCCTGTCCTTCTCATATGGTGCATTGCATAGTGTTACTGAGAACTGGCCCACTTATAAATTGTACTGCTACAGACCATGATTGAGATATGTTGATATTGTGGTCCCGACTAAGTTATTATGCTCATTTGAACTTAGAGTGCTACAGACCATATCAGTAAAAGTAACCTACTAAGCACTCTCTTAGCCTCCCTAACTAACAAGCAATTAGGTACACAATTCCATGAAGCAGTGTGCATACCCAATCTAAAATTCCAAATGTAATGAAGTAGTAATAAAAATTGTCACATAGTCCAGTATTGAAGTTAGTTTAATATTAAAAGAGAATTTTAATTGGCTGCGCTTATACTGAATTGCTTGTTCCTTAAAATATATATATATATATATATACACACACGTTTACCTTCTTAACCAACTAACACTCAAGTCACACTAATGCATAATGGTTGACCAGTGTCCATAAATGCGTGACAATTAATTAAGTGGCATGTTGAGTTATCAAAGTTGAAAAATGAAAAATCAGACCATGATTGAAATAAGAGAGGAGATGTGGGTTGCTAGATAGCTCAATAAAGTAACCATAAAGAAATCGGAAATGCAGCCTTTGCACATGCAACAATATCCTACTTAGGAGTTGAGGCTAAATAACCAAGTTCCTCAGCCAACACACTAATATCTTCATCATCTTCTTGCAATCCTAGTAGATCTTCTTCAGTACTCTCATACAAAAAATCTTCCCAAAACACTTCCTCAATGTCTTCATTCCCACTTTCAAGTTCAGCTCCATTCTCTTCCTCGGTGTTCTTTTGGCTTCCACTTTGTTCCCCCATGTTCATAACAAGGTCAATGTCAGAAACCTCAAACTCTGATATGTCAGTGTACTCTTGCTGTTCAAGTTTAACAAAAGTTGAGCATTCTTCAGCATAACCCAATTCAGCTACCTCAATATTACTAGGCCCTTGATCAATTGGTCTTCTTCTTTTCTTGGAAAATGCTTCCTCCAACTCCTTCCTCCATTCCTTTTGTTGAACTAATTGTTGCAAGAAGTCGGGGTTCTGCATTGCTCTTGCCAAAAATTGCATCATTCGTTGCTGCTTTTGCTCAGTCTTTTTAAGCCTACTTTCCATTGACTGAAGGTTAGTTCTAGTGTTCTGTTGTTGTTGCCTAAGCTTCACCAGCTCCACCATTAGAACTTGCTTGTCACGCCTCAACCGATCAACTTCTCCATCCAATCCAAACCGCCCCACTTCAACACAAGGGTCCAAAACTTGCTGTGGTTGCTGAGGTTGTGTTGTCTTCCTCCTCCTTATATTCTTCAACAAATACCTTTGTCCTCTAAGAAACCCTTCATTAGCAAACTCCCACCTATCTGGATCTACCTTTCTAAACCCCTACAAAAATACCAAGTTCCTTCTTCATGTTCAAATCCAAAAAATATCACTATTGAAATAATGGATTGAGAGGAAAATCCTAATTAAAATAAATGCTAAGGAAGATAAAACATACTCATCAAAGTTCATAAGAAGTTCTTGCTCACAGACTATATTAAAGAAGATGGAGCATATCAGTAATCTGTTATATCATTTACTGGTGTAATCTTTTGTACTCCTTTTTTCAAGACATTAAACAAACAAAATGATCACAAGAAAGAAGCTTAAGAATAAAAGCATAAAATGGAATCAAATACCAATCAAATCTAACCAACAATCGTAAACAATCCGGAAAATGAAGATAGACAAATTAAAATACTAACGGATCATTCATCATGGTCTTAAATTGTGGTTCACCACTATCCTCAATGTGGTGAAAACTATATTCCAGTCTAGGAGGTTTTTGCAACTGCAAAGAAATCACAAAGCAAGCAACTGACAGTTTAAAACGATACTGATTCATCGTTATATAATAAATGAATATATATGAAGATACTAGTTTCATTGATGAAAACAACACACTCTAAAATTACTGCAAGAGAGTGAGCAGCAATAAGGATTTCATGCGGATTATATTACATTAAATATGATAAGCATGCTGTGTAAAATTAAGCAAAGAGCAATAAATATACATACATAGGTGTTAAGCTGTCGTACAAAGCTGGAGAAGTTGTTGTGCTTGAAGTATCTAGGGAGAAGGGTAATGGAAAATGCTTGAGGATCCCACACAACAAAGCTGTTATTTCCTCTGCTCCATGAAACTATCTCATCAGTGGAACCATCATCAACTATGTCATATGTCTTTGTGAGGAATGGTGGAGGACCACTTTCATGAAGCCCCTCCATTGGTTGTGGCTGTGGTTGAGGAGAAACCACACCTGCTCCTTCTAGAAACTCCTCCTTCACAATCACAGGACCATCATCAAGATTCATGTTTGGAACATATAAACAACCCAAGCTTTAATCTGGTCGGTTTCTTTCTTCCTGATAAATGATGGGTTTGCCTTTGATTTTGAATCAATGTGAAGCTTTCAACAAGGTGATGATGATCAGTGTCAGCTATATTGTAGTGAAACTGAAAGGACTAATAAAGATACAAAGGAAGGTTAATAGATGCAACAAAAAGTGTTGGTGACACACACAAGAGAGGAAAAGAATGTGTGAAGTTAGGGAAAGTGTGTGTAGTGCCTAGTGAACAATGAGTGCAAGTTCTGTAATCTTATGGTATATGGATTGGAACACAAGGGATGGTGATCAGTGTTTGTTGGTTAGATTTTGTTCAATCAATAAGTAGTTGCTGTGGATTTTGTTCTTTCCCTTTTCCTTGTTTAAGTGTCACATGAGTGTTGGGGGAAGGTGGGAGTGGAACAGCCTAATAGGAACCCAAAGTGTCAATGCATATTTCTCTGTCGCCTATGTTTTTACCCTTTTGGGAAATGTCATTTTACTACACTACACTGTTCACTATTTGGCATTTTCGATATAAAAGAAATGTTATATTGTTATAATAATTTTTCTCTCTTCTTGTTCTTGTCAACTCCATATTAAATTTACGATAGGGGAAATCGAGCGTGTGCATATGCTAAAATATCATCCACAGACAAATATCATGTGATGTAGATATTATAGAGAGAAGTTTCTAGACATAGTATAGATGCTTGAGGAAAACGTTAAGAATATATTCTTTTAAATATGTTTTTTATAATTAAAATATATTTTAAAAGTAATTTATTTGAATGATAAATATTTGTGTTAACATTATGTTACACTTAAATATTTATATTATTTAATAATATTTTATAAAATATAAAATTAATTAATTTAAATTTAATAGTGAATCATTTTATATTATTTTTTTATTGTGCATTTCAAATTTTATATAATTTTAATATTTATAATTATATTATTTAAAATTTATTTATTTACATTTAAAAAATATTGTGATAAAAGTTATAGTACTGTTCATAATTTAAAGGATTTGGTATTCTTTTATAAATAGAATAATTATTACAGTAAATTTGATACTAATAGTGAAGTTAATAGTTTAGATAAAAAAATCTTAATAACTTTTTATATTTAAGATATTAGATGAATTATAACCGTCGATTTAGAAAGAGTACAAACTGTCTTGTAAAATTTACAGGTATAGTAACAAACATTAAATATTATTTTTAAAATAAATTAGCATAATAAAATATTTAATATTTTTTAATTTTATAAAATTAATCTATTTAATAAAAAAATTTAAATAATTTTCAAATTAACGGTTAAAGTGATTCATTTTATATTTTATAAATAAAATTATTAAATAATATAAATATACAAATTAAATATAAGGTATCAATCTATGAATCCTACCTCTTTAAGAAAATATGTTATTCCTGTTTGTCTTACATATTGTTTTTTTCTTCTATTATGTGGGCCATTTGATTTTGTTTGCACTTTCCATACTAATGATTATGAAAGAAATAATATACTTGTATAATAGTTTATAAAATACACACAATGATGGAGAGAGTGAACTCTGAATAGATCCAGTGTTTTGAACTGCACTTAGTTGAACAATACAGGAGAAGGAAAATGTTCTGTGAATATAAAATTTGCTAACCCATTCACAGACTCTTTGACAAGACGCCCCACACAAATTTTAATGTATAAAAATTAAAATAAATAAGAAAAATCAATCATATAGAATGTGGCATATAACATCACTTTTTAAATAATCATATAGAATGTTAGAACTCAAATAACAAATGCTAAAGGTGGATTTAAAGTAGTTTTAAATTTCTTTTTTTATCAACTCTTTTTTTTTTTTTTAATCTTCTGTTTTTCCAATTGATGACCTCAATGGCTAATAAATTACACAATTATATGGTCATACTTACATGAATTATTAATTAATAATATAATATAATATACTTTTTATTGTATATAGACACACTTTCTTATAAAAAGTCAATTATTCCCATGGTTATTATACCATGAATTGGCCAACAATTTTTATTTTATTAAATGGCTAACCATTTTCGATGTAGCCTTTTTCGACGTGGCAAATTTAGCATCGTAAATCTTACTCAGTTCTGTGGCAAATTTAATATTTACAAAAAGATGTTCTTGCTTCTTTAATTTATTTCATTTTGAAGTTAATTTTAACAGAGTTCAAGTTTTTTATAATAGATTTAATATATACTTTGAGACATTTTTGCTCATTTTAGTGTTTTATGCTATCTTAATAATAATTTTTTTACTATGTGTTTAAAAGTATATATAAAAATTTAAATATAATATTTTTTATTAAAAATAACATAATCTAATGTATTGATAATATTAAATATTATATTTTAATAAAAATATTATTTATTAACTTTTTTTTATTATGTATTTCTAAATATTTTTACAATTTAATTAATAAATAAATACGTTTTTAAATTTAATAAATAATATTTAAAATAGTATTACATTTATATTAACATTATTTATTTTGAAACAATTCGAGTCCTTTATTATTAAGTAGCATATAGATATATCAAAGAGACATATATATTTTCAAATAATGATTTATCATGATTGGGAAAAATATATTAAGTTTAATAAAAAAATTAAGTCTTATTTTACATATTAAATCATATTACAAGAAAATTCAAATTTATTTTAAAATATATAAATTTAATTTATATTTCTTTAATTGTGTGATTTAGCTATATGTAAAATTAAGATTGATATATTATTTTTATAAACCAAGCCGATCCAACTCCGTTCATACATGATCAATTCTTTATCAAGTTGAGTTAGATTCTAAATAAATTATGCTATTAAAATTTTAAATTAGGTAAAATTTAAGATAAACCTATAATTTTTCTATAAACACTTATACTTTAACCTTATTTTATGGATAAATTGTTAAATCTCTCCCTTATGTAATTTTATTCTTTTTCATATTTTATGCCATATAGTATCTTAATTTAAATAATTAAAATTAAAAATATTATAATCATGACATTAATTAAATTGATAGTATTCCAATTTTATTTAATATTTTAAAAAATAATATTACAATTAGTTTTAAAAATCAACATAATTAAATACATTATCTCCTTATCATTTACATTTATAAAAAGAATATTTATATAACACCAATATATAACCTTATAACTACAAATAGTTATAACTTTGTTTGTACTTATATGTACTAAAATAATGATATATTCTATTTTCTGTAATAAAAAATAGAATTTGTGAATTTTTAATTTAAAATAAAAAATATATAAAATTATATACTTTCTATAAAAACACTGAAAATATTAATTTTTATTGAAAATAAAAAATTAAAATAAAATATGAATAATAGAGAATAGAATCTAGCACTCATTAACATGCGCTTCGGTGAATCCGGGATGCGCACACAATATTAGGGAAACAATTTTAAACGGGGGATTTTGAAACCAGCCAACTTTTGTGGACTGCACGAGTAAATTTACATTTTTTAAACAAACATTAAATTGTTTTCTTTAAAGAGAAAAAAGTAAATTTTTTTAACTTTAAATAAAAATTATGAATTAAAATTAATAAAATTTTAATTATATTAAGCATAATTAATTTAAATGAATAGAAATTTTTAATTAATAAAAATTTATGAGAACACATTATTAAGAGTAAGTACTTTCTATCTGATATGATGCGTAAAATTTTTAAAATAAGATTAACATGGAATACAATAATTCTTTATATATATAAAAGAATGTTTCTTTTTCAATTCAATATAATATATCAAGATTTTTTAAATATTTAAATTAAATTTAAAACTAAAACAAAAAATAATATTTTGAAAAGAATAAATTTTTTAGAAAATGCATATTAAACATAGGAGAGAAGTCACCGTAGATAAATAAGTGTTAAAAGTATGATTTATAAACAAGGATTCAAAATTATGTAAAGAAATTATTATCTTCCTCCTTATTTTAATTCTTAGTCATACAAATTAAAATATCGTAAGTATCTAATGCAAAATAGAAATACCATATCTATTAGCACGTTATATTATATTCAGCTTAGAACAAAAGTAATATTCGTATAAAAACACTTCCGGAAAAGATTAAAATATTAAATGTGTTAAATTATTTTAATAATCTTATTATAGTGGCCTATGTAACTTATAATATAACTCTAATTAATGATTTAATGTGATGGTGGTTAAATATAAAATAGAATTATTGAAGGTATAATTGTAAATACAATTATAAGGAAACTCTCCTCTCTCCCTTCATTATATTAAAGAGCGGTTACCAAATAGGGGTTAAGTATTCTCTATTCTTTCACTTTCAGGGTCTCTGAGTGAGCTTACGGTAAACGTAAGAAAAGAACTTTCTCTCAACCATCCGAGAAGAGCTGAAAGAAGAATGAACAGTTGGGAAAAATACCAAGGGATCAACGACATTAAAGAGAAAGGTAACATCTAGAAACAATGGATTCAGGTTAGTGCTCTCTAAACCCTTCATTGTATGAGAACCATATATTGTGTTGCGAGAGCAATGTTATATCAACATAACAAAGGAAAAAGGTAATTTCATAATAGTCATTGCATAATGAAATTACATAATGGATTAAACAAAATTCTAACAGTTGGTATCAGAGCAAGGTTGTGAATTTCGTTGATTCTCCATAAGAGATTGGTTCTCCGTTAAAGTTTTTCCCAAATTACATGAACTCTAGATATATTATATGATAGATTGACATAATTTTGATGTTAAATAATTATTTTGGATTCAATAATTGAAAACCCTAAGGTTTTGGAAGCTAGAAACTTTAGATTTTGAATCTGTAATATGAGCAGGGCCATGTATCAGTAAGCGGAG